ACTGGCGACTTTGTAGTACAACTTTAGTACGCGGAGCAATCTGTGGAGCTAGAAGCTGAGAACTGGCGACTTTGTAGTACAACTTTAGTACGCGGAGTATCTGGGGAGCTGGAAGATGAGAACTGGCGACTTTGTAGTACAACTTTAGTACGCGGCTGAGTCATCTCTATTCTGTATTTTGCAAAATGCGAGACAGTTGACGGTGGTTGCTTCGCTTTCGCTCCATTGGTCGGTTCCAACTTTTTTTGTCAAAGAACATCGCAGCTCGGCGAATCAGCCTGCACATGCCCATTTCCTATAGGTTTACTCTTTTGGAAACTTCCGCTGCCGGCTTGCCCGGGAACTACTTGCATGCATGCTCACACGTTGAGTCCATTCTGGAAAGGGCTCCGTTCATGAATCCTCCGAACGAGAACATCGAGTCAGCAGGCTCCATGCCCCCCCGGAAGGCTTTGGGTTGTCATGCCCCAAACACCGCAGAAAGATGGGAAGACGACATGAAGACTCCCAGTGTTTGGAGGGCGGACAAACGATTCATCTCTGCTTGAGAGTTGTTGGAGCCACGAGATCCCCGCTACCTTCCACGCCAAGAGGCCCCTCTACCTGAGCCCGGAGATCTGTGCCAAGGGCATGTGCGCCAGTGATGGTTTTGGATCTTCATTGGGAGGTGAGTCTTCTCAAGATGCACAGCATTAGCTGAAAACCATCTTGCGCTCATGGAGACCCCGACCACCTCTTCGGTTTGGCAAAAACCGCCACCATCACGACAGCAACTCCATCACAGGTACTCCACCGCCAGCGACCTTTGGGCATTGGGCTGTGTGGGGAACCCCCGAGAGACGGTGCACAAGACGGGCGGTCAAAGCTCTGCGAGGTGGTCTAGTTCATGGATAGCACAAGACCACAAGAGCCAGGCTACCACAAACTACCACTGGCTACCCTTCCCAAATGGGTCCAATCACCCTTGACTGAAGGCTTGATATAAGCTGCATACAGGTGTTTCTCAAATTGCCGAATGCGTATGGCCCGTATGGTCAGGCTTTGTACTCTGATGCAAACACCTGCATAGACAAACTGGCACTCCAGGATTACTGTATGTGGTGTACTCGGCCAGACAGACTCACTATGTACAGTAGACGGACAGGAAACAAGGTCTCCCAGACAAGTCCAAGGTTCAACACTTATTCTCAAGTACGTGGAATACAGACCCAATTCTATCTACGCACCGAACAGTGCTCCAACAAAGGGAGGGCCAAGTACTTTTAGGAGTGCTGTGACTGTGACCCACTGGAATCCCAAACGACAGTAGCTTCATCTTAAGGCCTTCATCAGTGCTTTGACTTGTTCGGTGCAGTACCTGGGTTTCGTTCATGTTTCTCTTCCAGAACACCTCCATCGAACTCTCCGCCTTTCCTGCCTATATGGTCTTGGAATTTGGGGAGAGGCGGAGAGGTCTGATTCTGGAGCAACGAGCCTGCACCTCACTGACATTGAACGGGAATATGATCTGCTTCATGATGGACGCTGGTTTTGTAGGGAGGGCATTTTCCGGTTCCAATGTCAGGGAGTCAGACTGCAATCCTTTAGAGCCAACCTATGGGATGTACATGTATTGTTGGCTTCCTGCAAGCACATGTGTATTCGCATCTACATTGAACTTGTACGCACCACAATCCCATTAGCCGTTAGTTTCTTAAACTCCCTGTAGTAAACTGAGCTTTTGGGTGGTTGGTCAGATGTGAAAACCATGTGTTTCTGCGTCAAATCGATCCAAATCTCGCTCGCCGCGCCGGGCGCTACGCGCCACCCCTGAGGCTCTCTTTGAGCTCTTGACATTGAGCTTACCCTTTGAGGCACAGCGGAGGTCGAAGCAGGTCGAAGCAGGTCACCTTTGAGGGGTTGAAGAGGTCGAAGGCGAAAGACTTGTTTGGATTCATCAAAGATTGAAGCCTTAATGAATGGAGCCTCTGCGCAGATGGGAATAATTACCGACCAAGAAACACAGATCCCACGTCGAGGGCTTGTTGTGACCTCACGACCTGCAGTTGGCGAGGCTGCGAATCTGCCTGCTTTGCTGGTGAAGATCGCTGGCGCCAGCGCACCTCGCCCAGCTTCTGCCTGCCAGGCATGGCAGACGTGGTTTCTGCGGGGAGTTCTTTCCCAGGCAGTGTTTTTTTGGTTCCAGCAAAAGGACCAGGAAACAAGGATATGACATGCAACTCAGCTTCAAACCAGGTAAATTTAGCATCTACGCATGCTTCTTCACAAGATAAGAGCTGTGAAGAAGCTGAGTTGAAGCATGGGGTGAACCCTGAATTGGATCATGCCTTTGTTCGTTTGGCCTTTCACAGAAGGTACATCTCATGAAGCGCACTCACTCGTTTACACTGTGGTTAGGGAATTCAGCATTGCACAAAATCCGCAAGACTCCGGACTATTTGACGCTATGAAGTTGAATTCCGATCGACCCAGAGACAGAGATACCCAGAGATACGCTATTCGCTTCGAAATTCCCTGCAGGGCCCTGTTCAATCCCGAAAGAGGCCAAGGACCCCGTGGATGGCGAAACCTGTGAATTGACCGATGAAGCGCACCGTAGGAGTTGGCGGACCTTTGCGCTTGGTTGTTGACCAAGAGCCGCATGAGCAGGCCCTCGGCTGCAGAGGCCGGATTTGGCGTTCTCTTCGTCTTTCTAAGCTGGGAATCTGCAGAATCCCGAGTGCTTGCGGCATTTGGCTTGCCTTCTTCGGTGATTCAGAGGTGAAGACGTTGAAAGACCAAAACACAGACGCGGATCTCAGACTTGCCACAGCTTTTGGCTCGAATCATTTGGACCCATCTTGACGGCTTGGTTTGCACTCATGGCAGGCTTGGAAACGAACCTGGGAGAGCTTTTGCTGACAGCTGCCCAAGTTTCTCCGGGCCAATTGTGCTTAGAGACCGAAGATGCAGGATACACTTTTGAGCAGATTGCTTTGATGGTGGCTGGCATACGAAGAGTGCTTCGTAAGGCTCTCTCGAGCCTGGCTGAGCCGCTTCATCCAGGATCTCCTCTCCGTGCGCATGAGCGCCGTGCCGATGAGCACGTGGTGACCATTGTGTTGGAGCGGGGAGTGAAAAGCCTCGCCTCCATCCATGCTGCGATGCTTGAGAGGTGTGCCTACAATGCCTTTGACGTAGCAGAGCCAGTCGAGAAGCTTCAAAGCTGGATTGACGTCTGCCATCCTGCAGTCATCATCTCCACGCAAGCCCTTTTCACACGCTTGCACCTCGACGCACTCTCCAAGTCGAGCCAATTCCCTCAATACGTCTTGGATGTGGATTGGGCCTTGAAGTGTCAGCAGAAACCTATAGCAGCCAAGTGTGACCAAGAGGACGCGCTAATTACGAATAGAATGAATAGATTCTGATATGTTCTGGTTCTCGAATAACGGGGTCCGAGCATTTGTAACACATCACCATTCATGATCAACATATGCAGTACATTGGCACTTGCACAATGACAGACATTGATAAACCATGTAATGACAAGCCACCTGGAAAACCCATGAGTATCTTGAAAGCTTGTTCATGCCATTTTTGATAGAGTCCGCCAGGCTTTAGGCGGTATACATGTCCTCCAAACTGAGGTGCACCGCATGCACAAAACTGAGGTGCCGTCACAAGGCCTTGACACCGTCACACCGTCACACCGTCACCGAGGATCCAAGTGAGAAGGAATTCAGCGATGCCAGGAGCCCCTAGTAGCGATGTCCTTTGCTCCTGGTAGCGTTCTTGTTCCTATGACTAGGAGGCCAGGAGCCCCTAGTAGCGTCCTTGCTCCTAGTAGCGATGTCCTTTGCTCCTGGTAGCGTTCTTGTTCCTAGTCAGGCCAGGAGCCCCTAGTAGCGTCCTTGCTCCTAGTAGCGATGTCCTTTGGTCCTGGTAGCGTTCTTGTTCCTAGTCAGGCCAGGAGCCCCTAGTAGCGTCCTTGCTCCTAGTAGCGATGTCCTTTGCTCCTGGTAGCGTTCTTGTTCCTAGTCAGGCCAGGAGCCCCTAGTAGCGTCCTTGCTCCTAGTAGCGATGCCCTTTGCTCCTAGTAGCGTTCTTGTTCCTAGTATATAGTAAGGCCAGGAGCCCCTAGTAGCGTCCTTGCTCCTAGTAGCGATGCCCTTTGCTAGTAGCGTTCATGTTCCTAGTAGTAAGGCCAGGAGCCCCTAGTAGCGTCCTTGCTCCTAGTAGCGATGCCCTTTGCTAGTAGCGTTCTTGTTCCTAGTAGTCAGGCCGTCCTTGCTTCTAGTAGGGATGCCCTTTGCTCCTAGTAGCTTGTTGCTCCTAGTAGCGTCATTCTTTCTTCCAGCTTTGTTTGTTTGTTATCCTTCCTCAACATTCGTCAGCTGAATGTGTGGAAGTGACATGTTGGAAGTGTACCAAGTCCCACGTACTTCAATCCCCGTCTTAGTTCCTCGACTTTAGATCTCCCAAACTCATTCTTTTTTCCTTCCCTCTCCCCATCCAAATAGGGCAATCAGCGATGACTCGGATAGGATGCTTTTCTTGGCAGAATCTGCCAGGACCTCGACAGGCTGGCATACCTGATCTTCACCAGTGGCAGTACTGGCAAACCAAAGGCGGTGATGATTCGACATGCGTCGGCGCTGAATGTGGCACGAGTCTGGAGTGCAGCGATTGGACTTTGCAGCGCAGATCGCTTTGCTCAGATCTCGTCGATGTCCTGGGATGTTCATGTCATAGAGATCTATGGTGCTATGGCTGCTCAGGCGACCAGTGTCACCTGTCCCGACATCGTCAAGCAGTCTGGTCCAGATATGCTTCTGTGGTTGAGACACAAACAGATCACGGGCATGAGTGCGGTGCCATCACATTTGCGCACGATGCAGTGCAGTTCAGGGCCTGTGTCCAGCCTTGCTGGACCTGCGTTGGGTGTAAACCTCCCACAGCTTCGCATTGTGGATGTGGGTGGGGAGGCTTTGGGTGCAGATGTGGTCTCAACTTGGGCTCCGGGCCGTCTCCTCTTCAACAGCTACGGGCCAACAGAGATTTCGGTGGTGTGCACAGGCATTGACGTGCAGGTGGGTGA